GGAGGGGCTGGCGGGGAGGAGGGGGTGGAGGCTGGGGGGGAGAGGAGGGGGGGTGGAGGCTGGCGGGGGCGGAGGGGGTGGAGGCTGGCGGGAAGGGGGAGGAGGGAGGGGTGGAGGCTGGCGTGGGAGGAGGGGGAGTCAAGGGTGTGAAGTGCTATGTACAAGCGACCAAGGCAGCTCCCTTTAGGCGCGGTCTGAAAGATGATGGAAATTTTGGTTTAGAAAATAAAGGAATTTCGGAGAATAAGAAAAAAGGCCAATTGGACAAGAAGGATTTTTAATAAGGAAATATAAGAATCATGGTGAATTGAATAGCTTTTTTAATCGAGGAAATTTGAGAATGTCGCGGAAAGTCAGGAAAGTCTAGCAAAGAAATACGTAATATCATCAAAAAAAAAAATAATAATAAATAAATAAATAAATAAATAAATAATAAACGAAAGAATAAACAGAAAGACAAATGAATAAACAATCAAGGATACATTTCCAAGGATATCACGAAATCCCGACTGTCCTTACAGAGGCGACATCTACACACGTCTCCGTCGGGCGCAAATATAGCACAAAACTGCTGCGAAAGTCCTCGATAGCGATTCGTTAGCGGTCGCTCGATTTCCCGCTCGACGGCTGGCCTTGCTGCGGACCGCTCGAGAGGGAAGGGGCGGGATGGGGGTGCTGGGAGGAAGGGGGGAAGGGAGGGAAGGGAAGGGAAGGAAGGGGTGGGAAGGGAAGGGAAGGGATGAGGGATGGGCGGGATGGGCGGGCGGGAGGGAAGGGCGGGATGGGCGTGCTGGGAGGGAAGGGCGGGGGCGGGAATGGAAGGGAAGGGAAGGGATGGGAGGGAAGGGGTGGGATGGGAGGGAAGGGGCGGGTGGGCGGGAAGGGGCGGGATGGGAGGGAAGGGGCGGGCTGGGAGGGAAAGGGCGGCTGGGGAAGGGGCGGGCTGGGAGGGAAGGGGCGGGAAGGGAAAGGCGCGGATGGGAGGGAAGGGGCGGGATGGGAGTGCTGGGAGGAAGGGGCGGATGGGCGGGCTGGGAGGAAGGGGCGGGATGGGCGGCTGGGAGGGAAGGGGATGGGAGTGCTGGGAGGGAAGGGGCGGGATGGGAGGGAAGGCGGAGGGGAGGAAGGGGCGGGAGGGAGGAAGGGGGCGGATGGGAGGGATGGCGGGAAGGGGCGGGATGGCGGTGCTGGGAGGGAAGGGAAGGATGGGAGGGAAGGGAAGGGATGGGAGGGAAGGGAAGGGATGGGAGGATGGGAGGAAAGGGCGGGATGGGGAAGGGCGGGAAAGGGAGGGAAGGGGCGGGTGGGAGGAAGGAGCGGGCTGGGCGTGCTGGGAGGGAAGGGGGCGGGATGGGAGGGAAAGGGCGGATGGCGGGGTGGGAGGGAAGGGGCGGACGGAAGAGGAAGGGGCGGGATGGGAGGAAAGGGCAGGTGGGAGGAAGAGGCGGGATGGGAGGGAAGGGGCGGGCTGGGCGGGGTGGGAGGGAAGGGGCGGGATGGGCGCTTTGGGAGACGCCCGCGAGTTCTCGTCGGTTTTCTGGCTGTTTCTTGTTTTTTGTTTTTTCCCTTTTTTCTTATCTTTCTTCTTTGCCTTCGTCAATATTTTATTATGATCATTATCATTAATATCATCATTTTGTACTATGTATCTTCTAACCCTTTTGTCCGTTCTTTATTCCTTAGTTTTTCTTTCATTCTTTCCTCCTTCATTTATTGTCTTATGTTCTTTTTCTTCGACCTCTCCCCGCCCAGAAGCCGGCAGGTGGAGCGCCGCCCGAGGAGAGGGAGTGGTGGGCGGCCTCGGGGGGGGGGGGGGAGAGAGAGAGAGAGAGAGAGAAGAAGAGAGAGAGAGAGAGAGAGAGAGAGAGAGAGAGAGAGAGAGGAGAGAGAGAGAGAGAGAGAGAGAAGGAGGCCCGTCCCTCAGAAGGACTCGCAGGGGATGCGGGCGGGCGCGGAGATGACTTCGGCCACGAGAGGAGAGAAAAAAGAGGAAGAAAGAAAAAAGAAGAGAAAAAAGGCGGGGGGAGGCGCGGGCGGTCATCGCTGCAGCCTCCCCGGGAACTGTAGCAAGGTCAGTCGCGTCCACGCCCTCGCCGCCCTTCGCTCGCTCTCTCCCGGCCTCGCTCGCGCCCGCGCTGAGCGCCGGCGGGCGGACGAAGCTTTTCCGGAAGGACGCTCGGGAGGCGAGGGCGGCCGGCCAGCCGCGGATCCTGGGGGCGCAGCCGGAGGTCGCTGCGGCGTTTCGGCGAAGGGACGCGACCGGGGGCCGCCCTCGCTCGCGCCCAGGCCCCGGCGACGGCGGGCGAGGGCGCGGGGAAGAAGAGGGAGAAGGCGCAGGGAAGAAAACGAATCGGAGAGGGAAAGAACTCGCTACGAAGAGAGGAAGAGAGGGGCGCTTCTGCCCCGCGAGTCGCGCTGCCTCCCTGCAGAGACTCGGGCGAGGCAGAGGGAAGCAAGGCGCGCCGTTCCCCGATGATTGGAATTGATCTCAAGGTTCCTCGGCGCCCTTCGAGGCGCCTCTCGCGCGGGCGGGACTCGCGACGCCCTGCAACCATCGACCCGACGCTCTGTTGCAGCGTGCATGGCTCGCCCTGCCCCGCGACGGCGAGGGTCACCATGCACCGCATGCCCTCAGAATCAACGAAGCCTGCACACCAAGCGACATATAAACATCGCTTCGTACAGGAAGAAAATAATAAAAACAAATATCTTCGGTGTTTGCAAATTTTTGCAATTTTGGACAGTTTTGGAGTTTTCTTTTACTTTCTTTTATATCACTTTATGCAACATAGTTTATGGTTTTCCTATTTTTCAAATCGCGTGTAAACAAGGGAAGAGATTTAGCGCCTGAACTTTAACGACCATTTGCCTTCCACAACGACGCCAAACACGGCATCGTCTCCGGAATATCAATCGCCTTTCGCAATCAACTATTCATGCTCACGACAGCATTTGCATATTGCATGACCTCCCCCAAGAGTCCGTGCCCTGGAGTCCGTGCCCTGGAGTCCGTGCCCTGGAGTCCGTGCCCTGGAGTCCGTGCCCTGGAGTCCGTGCCCTGGAGTCCGTGCCCTGGAGTCCGAGCCCTGGAGTCCGTGCCCTGGAGTCCGTGCCCTGGAGTCCGTGCCTTGGAGTCCGTGCCCTGGAGTCCGAGCCCTGGAGCCTGGAGTCCGTGCCCTGGAGTCCGTGCCCTGGAGTCCGAGCCCTGGAGTCCTGGAGTCGTGCCCTGGAGTCCGAGCCCTGGAGTCCGTGCCCTGGATGGAGTCCGTGCCCTGGAGCCTGGAGTCCGTGCCTGGAGTCCGTGCCTGGAGTCCGTGCCTGGAGTCCCGTGCCCTGGAGTCCGTGTGGAGTCCGTGCCCTGGAGTCCGTGCCCTGGAGTCCGTGCCCTGTGTCCCCCGTGCCCGCCCGTGCCCTGGAGTCCGAGCCCTGGAGCGTGCCTGGAGTTCCGAGTGTCCTGGATGGAGTCCGCCCTGAGTCCGTGCCCTGGAGTCCGTGCCTGGAGTGCCCCGTGGAGTCCCCTGGAGTCCGTCCTGTCCCTGGAGTCCGTCCGTCCCTGGAGTCCGTGCCCTGGAGTCCGTCCCCGAGTCCTGGAGTCCGTCCCTGGGTCCGTGCCCTGGAGTGCCCCCTGGAGTCCGTGCCCTGGAGGACCGTGCCCTGGAGTCCGTGCCCTGGAGTCCCCTGGAGTCCGCCCGGTGCCATGGAGTCCCCTGGAAGCCCTCGTGCCCTGGGCCCTGGAGTTCCGTGCCCTGGAATGTCCGTGGCCCTGGAGTCCGGAGCCTGGGAGTCCGTGTCCTGGAGTTGGAGTCGCGTGCCTGGAGTCCGTGCCTGGAGTCCGTGCCCTGGAGTCCGTGGAGCCCTGGGTCCGTCGTCCGTCCGTGCCCTGGAGTCCGTGCCCTGGAGTTCCGTTGGAGTCCGCCCTGGAGTCCGGCCCGTGTGCCCTGGAGTCCGTGCCCTGGAGTCCGCCCTGGAGTCCGTGCCCTGGAGTCCGTGCCCTGGAGTCCGTGCCCTGGAGTCCGTGCCCTGGAGTCCGTGCCCTGGAGTCCGAGCCTGGAGTCCGAGCCTGGAGTCCGTGCCCTGGAGTCCGTCCCTGGAGTCCGTGTGGAGTCCGTGCCCTGGAGTCCGTGCCCTGGAGTCCGTGCCTGAGTCCGTGCCCTGAGTCCGAGCCCTGGAGTCCGAGCCCGAGTCCGTCCTGGAGTCCGTGCCCTGGAGTCCGTGCCCTGGAGTCCGTGCCCTGAGTGAAAGCAAGTCATCAAAAATCGAAATGAAATCTGTTCATCTCTGGCGTAAATCTTTGGCTGACTGGGCCATGGAAACGTTCAAGAGTGGAATGTATTACAAGGAATGGATTAAATACATCTTGTTATTTCCTCTTGACTCAAGACCAAGACTTGTCCTCCAGCGAAACCGTCCTCTCTCTCTGCCTTCGTCACTTCTATGCGGAAATGGTGATTTTAATCGTTTCTCTATCTCTCTCCTCCCACTTTTCCGCCAGAATCAGAGAACGGGAAAAATATCGACTTGGGATCTTTTTCAGATTATCTTTCATTTTATCCTGAGAATATATTTCAAATGGGAAGTTTTCGTCGACTGTGGGAACGAAGAAAGATTTTTTTTTTTTTTTCTCATTTTTTGAAAGGCAGATATCTTTCTTTTCCTTACTTATCTTTTTAAAAAATATATATGTCATAAGAGAGGGACTTTTTTGATATGGGAACAAAAAATTGAAGGCAGCAAGACCGAAAAACAGCCACGAGGGAGACTTTTTTTTTTTTTTTTTTTTTTGCAGATTTTTCCGAAAGTCATTGGTCATGGTAATGATATCGGCAATGGTGATAATGAGAAACTATATCAACAATTAGCCAGACTGAATAAAGAAAAAGATAGTCATCAGCTTATACTGTTAACACTGTTACTACTACTATTACTACTGTTATCATCCTTCCTGTTACTACTGATGCTATTACTACTACTACTGCCGCTTCTTACTGTACTATCATTATCATCATTGTTTAAGTTATTTTCATCACTGTAATAATTATCATAATCATCACCATCATTATCATCACTGTTAGCATTATCATTATTATTATTTCTATCAAAATCATTATTATTACTATCATTATTTTCATTATTTTCATTATCTTCATTGTCATTCCCATTATCATCGTCACCATTGCATTATCCTTGTTATTATGACAGAGGTCTTATTCGCATCCTTGGTCCTCGCAGAATTCCTTCCTAAGACTTTCGATGCAAATTTTATCTGCTTTAAATTTCGCGCAGCATGACTCTGCGAAATAGTTGCTAAATTTTCAGTGCTTGATTGTTTTAGAAAACATTAGGAGAGGGAGAGAGAGAGGAGGCAGGAGAGAGAGAGAGAGAGAAGAGGAGAGAGAGAGAGAGAGAGAGAGAGGAGAGAGAGAGAGAGAGAGAGAGAGAGAGAGAGAGAGAGAGAGAGAGGAGAACACACACCACACCACACACACACACACACATATATTATATATATATATATATATATATATATATAGAGAGAGAGAGAGAGAGAGAGAGAGAGAGAGAGAGAGAGAGAGAGAGAAGAGGAGCAGACAGACGAGAGAGAGAGAGAGAGAGAGAGGAGAGAGAGAGAGAGAGAGGAGAGACGAGAGAGAGAGAGAGAGAGAGAGAGAGCAGGAAGAAATCAAACTAGGAGAGACTGAGACCATAAAATGATTCCACATAAATATAAAAGAGAAAGAGAAATTGGAGGCTAAAAATATGATAACAAAAAAAATCAATAAACAGATAAAGAGATAGAGAAAGAAAGAAGGAAAGAAAGAGGGACAGACAGAGAAACAGGGGGAGAAAACAAACTAGACGAAGAACACGAAATGAATCCACATAAATAAAAGAGAAAGAGAAACCGGAGGCTAGACACATGGAAACGAATAAACAAATAAGCAAAAAAAAGGGACAAATAGATGAAAAATAAAGCCAAAGAGGAAAGCGGAAGACGACCTAAGCCCACTCCTCGCCAAACCGGAAACGCGAGCCATTGAAAACCTTCACGCCGGTCGCTCCAGATTCACTCCACGGTGAAAGCATCTTCGTGTAACTGTGCACTTCTTAGGAGTACTTCTTCGGCGTACTTTTTTTTTTGTCTCTAATTCTTCTCCTCACCTTTTCTCCATCTCCTTGTACCGTGAGTCCGACCAATCCTTTTTTACGGTTTTTTATACGTTAACCATCACTCATTCATGGTCATCGAGTAAAGGGGATCACAAATATAGCATTTGGAAACTCGTGCAGCAGTGTTGCCATCGCCATGGCCGCGTGAGCATTCTCCGGATGAGAATTCCCTACCTGTGATGTGTGTCCATGTGTAAGCGTGTGGTTGTATGTTTGTGTGTGTGTGTGTGTGTGTGTGTGTAAGTTTTATACTCTGTCAATCTGCCTGTCTCTGTCTGTTTGTCTTTCTTTATTTCTGTCTGTATGTCTGTATATGTCTATATCTACCTATTTGTCTCCTCCTCTCTCTCCTCTCTCTCTCTCTCTCTCTCACTCTCTCTCTCTCTCTCTCTCTCTCTCTCTCTCTCTCTCTCTCTCTCTCTCTCTTCTCTCTTCTCTCTCTCTCCTCTCTCTCTCTCTCTCTCTCTCCCTCTCTCTCTCTCTATCTATCTATCTATCTCACTTCACTCACTCATTTTCTCTCTTTCGGTCTGTCTATCGGATAAATATCTATTTGCCAGCCTACCTATCCATTCATCTGTATAATAGTCTTTCCATCTATTCATTTGTTTACCTGGTGGTTCTACCTGTATTCATACCTGTCTATTCGGGGAGTTCGTGTGCATGTGCAGCCACTTGGACACTGATTTTCCTCTAGACAGTATACACGCCCCTTTGATAACCGTGATCGCTGTCCGTGAGATATCCTGCGATCTGAGTAGCTGCGATTGTCACGTGATTGTAGAGAAAAAAGGACTCTGAACCTATTTAATCTTTGACTGTTCCTTCTGGCGCGTCTTATCGTCCTTGAAAAGGCAGTAAGACTCTTTGGGGATCGAGAGAAGGTGGTCGTCTTATATAGGTCATAGTTGCAGCCTTGCACGCACGCCGCGGCGCTAAAACCAGTGTTTGTGTGTGTGTGTGTGTGTGTGTAGGGGTCGTGTATGTGTGTGTGTGTGTAGGGGGGCTGTTTGTGTACGTGTGTGTGGTGTGTAGGGGGGATGTGTATGTGTGTGTGTGTGCACGCGTATGTATGCCCAAGTGTGCCTCCGCCAGCAGCAGTATGTGTCCCTGTCCGATCACGTATGCGCCTCTGCACGCCCGCACGCAAGCACGAGAGTCAGCGTGGGTGTGCCTGCATCCCGCGCCGCGCCGGAGGGGGGGGGGGGGGGGGGGGTGAGCGTGGCCCTGGAGAGTACCTCGACCTCGCAAAAAACTGGGCTGTTAATTAGAGCAAAAAGCGGCCAAGATGCAGCGGGGACGACACCTGACATTTCCCGGTCGCCCCGTGCGGGGCTTCTTCGCGAGGGGAGGGGAGGGAGGAGGGAGGGAGGAGGGAAGGAGGGGGAGGGGAGGGAGGGAGCGGGAGGAGGAGGAGGGGGAGGGAGGGGGGAGGAGGGGAGGAGGGAGGGAGGAGGGAGGGAGGAGGAGGAGGGAGGAGGAGGAGGAAGGGGGAGGGAAGGAGAGAGGGAGGAGGGGGGAGGGGAGGAGGGGGAGGGGAGGAGAGAGGAGGAGAGGGAGGGGAGGGAGGGAGGAGGAGAGAGGAGGTTGGGAAAGGGAAGGAGGAGGAGGGAGGGAGGAGGGAGAGGAGCGAGGAGGGGAGGGAGGAGAGGGAGGGGAGGAGGGATTGGGGGAGGAGGGAAGGGGAGATTGGGAGGAAGTGGAAAAGGATGCTGGGATTAGGGGAAGAAAAGGGGAAGAGGAGGATGCTATTGAGGTGGCAGAGAGGAGGGTTGAGAAGGGGGACTGGGGAGGAATGGGAGAGAAGGATATGGAGAGGAGGAAGAAGAGGGGGGTGATTGGGGAGGAAGTGAAGAGGAGGAGGATGTTGGGGAGAGAAGGAGGGAGGGGAGAAGGGATAATGTTGAGCAGGAGGGGGAAAGGAGGATGCTGGGCAGGAAGAGGAGAGGAGATTAGAAAAAAAAGAGATAAGGAAAGGGAAAGAAATGGATACTAGGGAGATAGGGGGAAGAGGAGGAAGGAGGAATAGGTAATTGGGGGAAGAGGAGGATGTTGGGAAGGAGGAGGACAGGGGGATGAGGTAGACGAGAGGGGGAGGAAGATACCGGAAGGGAATGAAAGGCTGGGAAAGAGGAAAGAGGAGGAGACGGGAGGAAAGGGAGAGGAGGGGGCTGGGAGGAGATGACGTCGAAGAGGAGAAGAGGAAAGCACTGAGGAGTAAGGAAGGAGGACGGTGGGAAGATGGGAGAGGAAGAGATAGGGGAGGAGAGGCCTGGAGGAAAGGAGGAGGTGCGCGCGAGTATGGATAGGAGCAGGTAGGCGGAGGGAAGGAGACGCCATGGAGGAGGAGAAGAGCGGGAACCAAGAGAGGGTGAGGAGAAGCGAACGAGAGGGAAAGGGCGGAGGATAAGAAACGAGAGAAGGACAGGACACAAGAATGAATGTATAGATGTTCGGAAAAGAAACAAGAATGAAAAAGGAGGGAAATACAGACAAAGGAGACTAGAGTGAATTCAAAACGAGCGAAGATGAAGACTCGGAGAAGGACGTACCTGGGAAGGCGAGAGACGGGGCGGGAGAGGAAGGGGAGCCAAGGGCGTGGGAGAGCCAGATAGGGGGAGAGGGTCCTTCTACAGGAGCCGCAGGGAAGCTCGGTCCGTTGTAAGGCAAGGTCGGCATCTGACATTTCGCTGTCTGATTGCGTGCTGTCTTTTGAGCGTGCGTTGGGGCCTCGCGAACGCCCGTCGCCTCGTCAAAGGACGTTCAGGATCTTAGGCTTTTTGAGGGATCTCGTTCCTTTTTGCGCTTCGCAGGCACCTTCGAGCATGCCATAGCGTCTCTCTTCTCTCTCCTCTCTCCTCTCTCTCTCTCTTCCTCTCCTCTTCCTCTCTCTCTCTCTCTCTTCTCTTTCTCTCTCTCTGTCTCTCTCTCTCTCCTCTCTTTCCTCTCTCTCTCTCTCTCTCTCTCTCTCTCTCTCTCTCTCTCTCTCTCTCTCTCTCTCTCTCTCTGCTCTCTCTCTCTCTCTCTCTCTCTCTCCCTCTCTCTCTCTCTTCTCTTCTCTTTCTCCCAGACACCCCGTCGGCGCATCCCAGCATTCGAAGCATTCCCAGGGATTCCTACGGCCAGTGTCGAGCGATCCTCGGAGCGATAGGAACCGCCAGCTGGGCCAACACGGACGCTGCCAGGAGGCCTGAAGCTGGCGCTGAGGAACTCGCGTGGCCGCATAGGAAGGCATTGGAGAGGATTTGGGACTCTTGCCCAAGGAGGACCGAGGTATGGGAGAGAGGAGGGGTGTTGTGGGTGTGTTGTGTTGTGTTGTGGTGTGTGTGTGTGTGCGCGTGTGTGTGTGTGTGTGAGCTGTGTGTGTGTGGTGTGGATAGACAGAATAGAGGACATATGTATATAGATAACTCAATATCAGGTATATACAATAAAGAAAAAAATATATATACATTTACATCCATCAGTCATTTTGTTGCTCGAGGACTCGTTCGAATTGACGTCACAAAAAAAAAAAAAAAAACGGGCTCCTTAAATGTGAACGTAATTATTGCCCGGTGGAAAAAAAGACCGCAATCAAAGCCGGGAAGAAAAACGTAATCACTTGGGAAAAAAAACGAGAGGAAGCGGGGTTTTTTTTACCCCCGGCCGCAGCGGAGAAGGCGCCGAACGCACAGGTGCTGGTTAGGGGGGGAGCAGAGAGAAAAGAGAGTAGAGAGAGAGAGAGAGAAGAGAGAGACGAGAGAGGAGAAGAGAGAGAGAGAGAGAGAGAGAGAAGAGAGGAAAGAGAGAGAGAGAGAGATGAGAGGAGAGAGAGAGAGAGAGAGAGAGGGAGAGAGAAGAGAGAGAGAGAGAGAATGGTGCGAAGCGATCACGAAAGGAACGCAGTCGGAGGCAGAAGCAGGCAGAGGAAGACGGAGAAGGGGGAAGTGAGTGTTCCGGTGACATTGTATCGCGTTGGATGGCCAATAATGAACGCATGTTTTATCGAAGTGAACGAATTTCTTTAATCATATATTGGATAAACGACACAAATTCACATAGATTATAGCTAAACCGCACATAAACACACACACACACACACAAACACACCACACAAACACACAGAACACCAACACACAACACTCCACCATACTACACAAATCCACCCACCACACACACACACACACACATCATCACATCACACCACATCCAACCACAACCATACCTCATCCCATCACACACACACCTTACACCTTTTATATAATTATTATAATTATATAATATATTACCTATCTTATCACTACTCTATT